GAACCAACCTAGATGCCCTTCAACAGATCAATAGATAAAGAAACTGTGATATATATATACACAATGGAATATTACTCAGCATTAAAAGAGAATAAAATTACAGCATTTGCAGGTGAATGGATGGAGTTGGATAATATCATGCTAAGCAAAGTAAGCCAATCCTAAAAAAACAAAGGCCGAATGTGGGGTGAGGGTGTATGGGAGATTCCGGTGGCTCTCACCTATCTCAGCAGCCACGTTGTCTCCAGGGCTCTTGCTGAGCTCGCAGGTCTCCTTCAAGAAATCACTAGCAAATATTTTCAGAACTTGAAACATACATTTATGTATGTATGTAGTATGTATGTTAACCCAAGCACAGGACTGCTTTATATCTATCCCACTAAATCTCATCTTGTTAGCTTTGGCCTATTGATCCAAACTGCTGGAAATCTCCATGATCCAGCTGGTGTCGCATGGAGCATAGTGATCCCCTAGCTTTGTGTTGCCAGGAAATATTCAGGACACCTTTTTACATCTTCATAGAGCAGCTGACGAAACCAGGGGCCAGAGGAGGCCATGCACACAGCCCTGCACCAGCAGCATTAGCAGCAGCAGCCCAGCTGCCCGACACAGGTCCAGTCATTGTGAGTGATGGGCTAATATCCTCTGGACAGTCACTTAGCCAGCTCCTAATCCATCCAATGCCATCTCCATACTGGCCACGTCTCCCCATGCAGTACATGGTCATCTGAGATGATCTAAAACACATGCCCTACCAAACATTTATGTCCAACGTTTGTCAATTTTTAAATGTCCTTTCTACTATGGTTGTAGAATGTCGAGTAATTAAAGTTGCCCCTGAAGAGATGCCTGGTGTCATCATTCCAGACAGAACACAAGTCAGTGCTGAGGTTCTTCCAGCCCAGAGACACCCTGGAATATAAATCCAGGGGGCCGTAGCCTTCCCATGGCCACCGCCATCCACAGCGCCGGGAACCAGGCTCGAAGACCCAGTGCCCCCGGGCCTGAGAGACGAGGCAGTGTGATGTACGGCCTTCACTTTTAATTACCCTAAACTGGAAAGCGCTGGCTGAGCTGGCCTGCCTGTCCAATAAAGCACCTGTGTGAGCCAGGGCCTGGGCGTCCACAGGGATGGGGTGAGTTATGGAAGCGATAAACCAGCCTCCCTCCCTGGGCAGACGGCAGGAAGAAAAACGCTTCCCAGTGGGGGCGCGGGGAAGCTGTGTGTTTCTTTAAACATTCAATTACGCTCTACAAACAGATTTTAAGTAAACAGCCGATCAGCACAAATTAGGGATGCTAGAAGGCAAATAAAACAGATTCCCTGAAACAACTATTATTAAAATTCGGTCCTGCTCCTGTGGACTGCTTCACCATGGAAGAGTTTCCGGGCACGGATAATTAGGTGACTCTCTTTCAGCATTAGCTTCAGAGTATAGCTCCTATGACTTAAGGGACTCGGGCTACTTTTATTTAGGTTTTCATTTCTAAGTAGATTTTACATTAAAACAGATTCCTAGATATTCAAAGACAATCTTCAATGAATAGGCCTATTTTGCCCTTTGGAAGTTTCTGGAAGTTTTTAAAGGCCTTGCAAAGTAGCCTTTCCCCTGTTTTCTCTTATGAACTGTGAATACTTCAACCTTCTTTTCAAGAATTTTGAAGCTTTTTATTTTCAAGTTTTTTCCCATAACAAAAGGATTTTTTTTCTAATCTTAAAGTAATATTTTCTTCTTATGAAACATTAAGACAATAAAAAAAACTCTCACAATCGTACTACTCAGAGATCCATGTCATGTGTATGATTTTAAAATAAAAACTGACTACCATGTAAACTATTTTCTAACATAATATTTATGTGGATTGCACTATAAATTTCTTTGCAATGATTTAATTCTTCATCATTTTTAATTATTGAATAGTATTCTGCTCCAAAGCTGAGCCGTAATTTATTTAATTGAATTCCTATCAATGTACATCTAAGTAAAACATTCTGCAAAGAATATCCTTGAACCCAAGGCTGATTGCTGGCCCCAGGCACTGAAGCAGCACGTCAACCATATTGGTCCATTGGATGACCTTCAGATTGGTCAGGGGCCATTCAATTGGTCAGGCCTTTTTACTATACTGGTTGTTAAATATTTAAATAACCTCTGCTTATATTTTTTATCATTGGGTTCTTATAGCTTTATTTGAATAAGCTCTCTGAGTTGGTCCTATTGCACCAAAGGCTATGCAAATTAAAAATTATACTATAAACAAGTGATTTATACCTTTTATGTCTGATAGCATTAAAAGTTAGTAGCATAAAAGTATTCCATTTCACTTATAAAACTGTAGATTTTTTTGGTATTCATTGCCTCAAAGGAATTTTCCATTTGTAATAATGCGTAGTCTCTTTCAAAAACAATAGTTATACAGAAGTATTTGGGGAAATGCATTATTAAAATAGTAATATTGGCATGCTCTGACTATGAAAATAGTACTTTTAACAGAACACAATACTTGAAATTGGTACAAGTACTATTACTAAATAAAGCTATAGGACATCATAGGAACATATTTAAACATGCTCCGTGTGTATGTTTTTTAAATGTCAGCTGACAAAGCAGTTGGGAAGAGAGAAATAAATTGAGAAGAGATGGTTTATGTTTTCAACTTTCCTAATGTCAAGATTATCTTATATGAAAGGCCCAGGATTGGAAGGAAGTACATTAACACACCTTTTAAAATAACATTTTATACTAATTAGTCCTTGTTCAATTGTCCACGTATATTTTACTATCTGCAGCTAACGGAAGATAAATCATTTTCTGAGGGAAGCATGAATGAGGCTATTAAGCCACTTTCCACACTCAGAGGACCTGAGGGGCTCTGAGAAATCATTTCTACCTGGAACAGCATGTCCTTCACGTAGCTAAATGAAGACGTAGGATATAAAATCACACAAAGTCTACAATCTCAGAAAGACAAAAGCAGCAGAGACTTATTTTTGAGAAAATCATCTGCATTAGCATGCGCCATGTCAACCAGGGTCATGCTCAGTCGAAGGAATATCTATTTTTTTAATTCTTTGTTCCTTTTTTTTCCCTTTATGGTGTTCAATTTTTTGCTGGTGTTCCTTTTATAGTAAAAACAAATAACTTCAGGATTTTATTAAGGCTATTTCCTCTCCTCTACCTGCAATACCACCTACAAAGTTTAGGATCAGCCTCCCCCATGCTGGGCACCGCGTCCCTGCCTAACAATAGGGTCGGTCACAATACAGCTGCCAATCATGGCAGTGCCTCTGAGGGCATGCAGCCCAGAGGGAAGCCCTCTCTCTGCTCTTTCAAGGAATACCTAGCTTCCTCCATGGAGATATTTTCAGAAACACGTAAGAACAGTAATTTAAATTAGACAAAGAGGAATGAAGGGAAGGGACAGAGGATGGGAATAGGAAAGACAGTAGAAGGAATAGGATACGACTTTTCTGTGTTCTTATATGGATACATGACCAATGTAACTCCACATCATGCACAACCACAAGAACGGGATCCTAAGTTACAACACACATATGTAGAATATTTCAGAATACACTCTACCCTCATGCTTATTTAAAAAGAACAAATAAAAATAAGAAAATAGAAGCAACATTTATAAAAATTTAAATGCCCCATAATGTTCTTACATGAAAGCCAAAAAAAGAAAGACCCTGAAAGTATTGATTTTCCTAAGACAGCCATCAGAAGCAGCACACAGTTCACATGTTCAGTATGTGTGCTGGAATCTCTATTTGAAGATCAGTGGCACCAGAAACGCTAAAACACATTACTTATTTATTATTTACAAAGCTTTAGATACATCTAATGGTGAGGGGTGCACATGTAAGATAAAATATAAAGAGGCTTTTTTGCTTTATTTTTAAGTTCTGAATAAAGTTTAGTAAATATTGTCTCTACCACACAAATAAACAGTATCATTCTTCAAAAACATATACATTGAGAGAGAGGCAGCTTGTGGATCCCGAGGAGGAGGGTATATGATTTTATGTGACTCTAAGTACCCATGGCAAGAGATGCCAAATGCTAGGGTGGCCTTTGGTGGTCTCTTTCCTCTGCTCAGTACTCGCAAATCACAGTTCTGATGTCAATAAGTTGGTCTGACTTTTTACATAAAGATGCTAATTTGAGTTTGCATGATTTTCTCTCTCTCTCTCTCTCTCTCTGGAATGCCTTCCAGAGGATTCCCATCCACACTGCCATTTCAGCAAAAATGGGTGAGAAGAAACCCACACACTGAAAGGGTGAACGGCCATTTAGCATCAAGCACCGGGAAGCTGACTGACACCTCCACCTGCAGATGCTGGCCAGAAGGCCTTCCTACCTGGGAGCCGATCAAAGGGAATGCAAAGGGCCCCTCAGAGATGAGGCATTTGTGCTGACAGCCAGAGCATAAGAACTGACACCAACAGCTTCTCTGGGAGGCCATGCAAAATATGAAGTGGTACCCATGTGCTCCGGAATAAAACAAAAGACCATTTTCTGGAAATTTATATAATTTTTCCAGAAAAGAGTCAAATTTGTAAGTAAATAAATAAAGTTAATACCTGAGGAGACAAGCTTTGAAAGATAAAATAAATTCTTGGTATTTCCTAGGGACGAAAGAGTTTCTACCTGTTTGAAGCTGTCACACAACTTGGAAACTGACCTGTGGACACTCTGAATGAGCAGGGGATGCTTAAATTCTTCCCTTGAAAAATCAGACTGAACCAAAGAAACATCTGAACAATGAGAAAACCTGCTGAGTTACCAAGTTCTTTCTTAGAGTGATAAAGTTCTTTATTTTTCCTCTGGGTAACTGTTTAAAGTTAACTTCATCCTCAAATCTAAATCTGGATTACAGACCCATGCACGGAGTCCTGCTTCTCTAAACACCAACATAAATTACCCAGCACTTCCCAGTCCACGCTGTCTTAACTTTGTCCTGTCATGCCATAAACAAGGATTAGCTTGACTTACTCATTTCTTTCCAGATTTATGACCAGTTCTCTGCTTTCCAATTGCATTCGAACATTCAACACTTCTGGATGATCCTGAAAGATAAACAAGAGGGGTTGGTGGAAAAACATTTGGCTCTGACTTAGCGATATCAGGCTATGCTCCTCTGGCAGTCAGCAGAGGGAGAAAAATCCACGTTCCCCTTTGGAACATTTGGAGACTTCAAGTACAGAAGAGCAGAGGAGCAGCTGGAAACGTGACACCAGGCCCTGACATGGCCTCTACACCCTTTCCTTCCATCACATACCCTAGGGCCCCTTCTCCATCGCACACGGCCCATGGATTCCTTCCTGGATCCTCCTGTCTCTATGAAGGGCACCTTCCTTTCCCCAGCTGCTCATATGAGAAACTAGAAGGTAAACTTTTTCATTACCGTGTGGCCCCCTCACGCTCACCAACTCCATCTAATCCAAGAGGAAGTCCTGTTGAGCAGCTCCTGAGTTCCAGTCCTAGTGACCAGCTCAACCTCCATCGTCTCTCACCCTGGATTCCTGCAAAGCCTTCCAATTTCCTCCCTGTCCACCTGTGCTCTCCTCCTCCTCATTCCCCAATGACAGTGGAGGGATATCTTTAAAATCACCACCTCATCAATCCACCCCTGCTTAAAACAAACCACACTGATAAGACACCCACACTTTAGCACGGTCTGGAGCTCACCTGCCTCCACATCCACCTACACGGCCTTCTCCTCGCTCACCTGGTGCTAGCCCAGGCCTTTCGAGGTCCTCTCCCAAGAATCGAGGTGCAGTCCGTCCCTAAGGATGAGGTCCACCTAAGAAAAGCCAAATGCCATCGCAGCCCTGGGCACAAATTAATGTTTCTTAGCAGTTTAGGAAAAGTGTGGGGGAGGCACCCCTGGGACAGGCACCGCTGCCTTCTGGGCCTCTGGGTCTGATCATCAGCCCAGTATGAGCACCACAGGTGACCACTGCCTTGCGGAACTCGGCCACCCTCCTTAAGTCAGAGCTGACTTCAGTGGCATCGGCTCTGTCTGCCTCTGCTTTGTGAATTCTTTGGGTTCTCTGCTTTTATGAGAGCTATGAGAATAAAACGTTTATATGTAGTTTTCTAATATTCTGTATTTGAAAGGCAGTATTACTACAAGAGTCCAAGGGACATTTTTAAAATACCATGTTTCAACTAGATGATGAATTAACCACCCATATGTGACACTTAAGACAAAAGGAACTGCAAATTCCAAATAGCCAACATTTAAAAATTAGTTAAAAATGAAACAAAATGTGAAAAAAAACCACAAGTGAAGATCCCATGAGTTTTGGAGAAATGACAAAGCCTACGTTAACTAGTGCACATCACTAGTGTGGAAATGTAAAGCCCCCATTGTTAGCGTGGCCCTCTGACATCTTCTTGTGGCCTTACTGTGTCTAATATGGTAGCCACCAGCCACATATGGCCATTTAAATTTAAACAAAATAACATTTAAATTTAAACAAAATAACATTCAGTTCATTGGTCACACCAGATGCATTTTAGAACTCAGCAGCTGCATGTGGTGAGCAGACAGCACAGATGTGGAACCCTTGCACCTGCACAGAAAGGTCTTTAATTTTATTATTTATATATGACAGCAGAATGCTTTACAATTCTCATTACACATGCAGAGCACAATTTTTCATATCTCTGGTTGTATACAAAGTATATTCACACCAATTCATGTCAGACAGCCCGAATGAGGAAAAAGACCCTCACCAGCAGGGTCCATTTGCTTCCCGAGTGGGGGTCTTCAGGGAGCATCAGCAGGTGCAAACCCAAGGTTAGAGTTTCATGAGCCTGGAGGTGGCTCTCCTACTTAACTGTCATCATCCATATAAATTATCATCTTCCACATCATATGGAGCTACACATTGTAATGATTTAAAATAATATCCTTTTAGTTGATGGATGATATTATTTTAAATAATGACTTGAACTAGAGAGTTAAACAGGTGAATTCACATATATATGAAATATTTGTGCACTTTTCTGGGTTTTAGATAGGATTTTTAAAATGGATTTTTAATTTTTTTTTTTTTTTACACAAACACAGTTCTTAGTTTTTGTATTTTTACACTGTCTGGTGTTTATAAGAACTGCATGGATTTCTGGTGTTTGCTGAACTTTTAAAAATTAATATTACTATTCAATCCCATGTGACATTAAACACACACCACATCCTTGTAACAGTTTGTAGAAATGTTTTTTGTTTTGTGTCAGGGATTTTTCCCTATATACTCACTGACCCTCAGATTTAATTACCAACACTTACACCATGCTTACCAACACTTCACGAGTAATACAAACTCATTAATCATATCTTAGAAAAACAAGATTATTAATTAGTTTATAATAAAATATTAAAACAAAAATGTCTCAACATTCTGTCAAGAGGTGCCCAAACACCATATGTATGTATCTTCATCTAACTGTTTTGCATGTGTGTATATATAAATATTACTTTAGTTACAAATTGCATTTGCCTAAGATATTGACACGCAAAGCACTGTCTTAAAGAGAAATCCTGACAATTGTATTTGTAAATAAAAATAAAGTGCTGGGGATATAACTCAGGGATAGAGCAAGTGCTTAGCATATATAAAGGTCTGAATTTGATCCCCAACACCGCCAATAAATAATTTGCAGCACCCTTTAACCTAAAATAAGTGAGCTATTTAAATATCAATATTTGTGCTAATTCTACATAAAGTACCTACATCAACGTCATGCCAACGTCAACATGTTTCGAAAAAATACATTCCCCCCCAAGAAAGATGAGAAAATGTCTCTGTGTATATCTTAGTGGATGTATGGAGAGTAGAAGAGAAATCCAGTGGAGACAGGGAACAGAGAGCTACTTTATTTCAAAACCACTAATTGCATTAGACCTCTTAGCTTAAAAGCATGCATTCATTCCATTTTCTCTTGATTGTTAGCCACTGGAGATAATGAACTGGTGCTGGTGAAATAGACCATTTCTATTTTTTAAAATGATAAATTGATTATCCTAATGGAACCGTGTCTTGTGCTGAATGCCTAAAGAACTGTATTTGCTGAATAAATCCATTAAGTGCTAATCAATAGACTAGAGGCGTTTGGGCAATAATTATAATTCTATCTCTTAAGTTTGGAAAAATAAATCTGAAGGAGTATATAAAATGTGTGTGGCTTCAGAAAACAACAATAAAATAATTGCCAGGGCACTTCCCACCCAGCTGAAAGCAAAATATGACCCAAATCTCAGACGCCCTCTGGGGTGGGGTGTGCTCATCTCTGCCTTATCAGTGGATAAATGTTCCATCACTCCATTTCCTTCTGAATGTCTGGCAAAACGTTAACGTCTGTCAAGACCAATCTGCCCAGCGTGATCTTGTGCCCACGGGTTTCAGCGTCCGCGTCCCTGGTTAGTAACGTCTTGCGTTCCTGGGAGCCCTGGCTCATGCTTGGACCGTGGCCCTTCCTCCAGTCTCTGTCCATTGTCTTGTCCTGTTAACTTGTATCTTCTGGATGCTACTCCCCGTCTGTTACGTGGGTCACAGATCCTCCTGGTGTGTCGTGTCCTTTCACCCCCTTTCCTGTGTGAAGGAGTGACGTCATTTTAATAAGCCCCTTCACGATTTCAACATTTGTGCCTCATGGGAGAAACTCTTCCCTGCTCCGAGGTCAAAGAGCAGCCCGTGCTGCCCACCTGCCTCCAAGCAGATCGCCCCAGCACCACGTGGGAAAGCATCTGTCCGCCTCTCCCACCCCTCACGGCCTGTGTCCCCAGCTCTATCACGAGTCCTGGCATTTGGGAGGGTGGGTCTTCTTGCTGTCCCCCGCAGCACCCAGCCCCGGCCTCCAGACTTCCAGCTGCCCTTCTTGGTGTGGAGAAGACGGCCCTCGGGCAGCTCGGCAAGACAGTCTCTTCTCAACAACTGCTTCACCACCTTCCTTCTCGTCCATGTCCCTCCGTGTCCCACGTCACCACAGGAAGTGTGAGTGGGGGCTTCTTTCATTCCTTCTCTTCTGCCTGTCCTTGGGAGAAGGGGATCCCTCGCTCTCTCTTCCTCTTCCCCTGTGCACACCATCCTTCTCAGCAGGTGGAGACGGCCGGCAGGGAGCGGCTCAGGACCAGGGACACACGGACAAGAGGGGCTCAAGGCCAGGGCTGGGAGCAGGGCACCATCAAGAGCAGTCAGTGGGCCAGCAGGTGCTCCCCAAAAAGGGCCCACAGAGAGCTGGGACAGGGGTCTGTGGGGTGGACATCCCAGAGAACAGGTCCAGCTCCCACGGGATGCTGGGCAGCAGTGATGGAGAGAGCTGTGCAGAGAGAACCACTGGGCCTTGGGGCAAGTTCTCTTCAACACCAACCAAGAAAGTCACAGCAACACCAACAGCTTCCTCCAGAGGCTTAAGGAAGATGGTCCTTAAATTGTAAAGGGACGAGGGAATCCGGGTAGTTTCCCTATTGTACTGCCTCTTCAGCGCATGCACGAATGCCTGTACGTGTGTGTGTCGTGTGTACACAGGTCATAATGCAGGCCTCTTCGACACCCCGATTCCTTTTTTTTTAATTAAAAAAATATATATATATATATGCATTAGTTGCAGATAAACACACAGCATATTTTTTTTTATGTGGTGCTGAGGATCAAACTCAGTGCCTCAAACATGCGAGTAAGCGCTTTACCATTGAGCTACAGCCTCAGTCCCCCTGCTCCCGCCCCAATTTCTTACACAGTATTTCAAGAGCTCTCACTGTTTTCACTTTGGCTCCACTCCCAATTCTGCCCTGGACTCAGCTCCAAGTCCTTTCTTGGAGCATGTGGGCAGGGAGACAAAGCCCAGGCTGACACAGCATTTTCCCAGGGTCTTCCTTTCCTCCCAGGACAAAAGCTTTGTCCCTGGGCCACACTTATCAGACACTCCACCTTGAAGGTCTGATCTGCCGAGGCCAGGGGCTCCCTCCCTGGCCCTCAGCTGCCTGGCTTCAGAGGTGCCCCGCAGCGCACTGGGCCAGGGCGGCCAACCGGCCCGACTACAATATTTACAGATGGGT